TATATATATATATATATATATATAATATTTTTGAGATTTTGCAATTTCTTAAATTTAATTATTAATGGTGTAAAAAAATAATTAATAATCGATAAATTATTCTTATTCACCAAAAGTAATGCAATGTACATGTTTTAGAAAAATAAGATTGTTAAGTCCTTGTTACACTCACCAGAATAAAAGACACACTTTGTACTTTTGTATATATATTTTATTTAAAAATAAAAAATAAAAGATACTAAATCACAAATTTTTTTTTATAAAGGTGACAAGGTGTATATTAAAAATGAGTTTAAACTGAGTTACAATATAAATGAGTCTAATCAATTATAAAGACAAATATGTCCACTTAAAAATGGACACATAAAAGCAGTTATCAAAAATAGTACTGCCTTAATAGTATAGATAGAATAGATGTAAATACTAAGTAGACAAATGAAGATCACTAATATCTATCTATACTAATATAAAGAGATACCCCTTCAGTTACCGTATTTGTTCAATCATTATACCCTTCAATTATTAAAAACAAATTAAAAATTCAAGAGTAATTTATCAATTACCATTTTCTTTTAATAATCATTCACTCCATTTTATTTTATTTTTTAAATCTATACTACAACATAAAAGAAATATTCTTTTATGAGTCGAATCAAGTTACACTTGAACCCATGAATTAATATTTGAATCACATGATCCATTCTTTATTAATTAAAATCTCTCACATACACATACATGTGATTAAATTGGAATGTCTGACGTCCGATCCAAATTAATAAGAAAAATAATTTTTTTTATTCCCATTCTTTTTAATCTTTTGGTTGAATTTTTCTAGTTTGAATTAAATTATTGAATAGGCGCAGGGACCCCTCCTCTAACCGCAGGAACTTCATTTTCCGTTGTCTAGAGAAGCTAACATATATAGCCAGAATATCAAATCAGATTTGCAGTCAGCCTACCTAAAAGGATAGCACTGTAGCAGCGATTATGATAAAGAAATTTCGGCTAAATAGTTAAGTTGAAAGATACAAAATACCACTTATTCGGTTCCTTAAATTAGCCACTATATTTTGTTTGTTCCTTCATGATTCGGATATGTAGTCACTTCAGTTTATAAATGACTACAATATGAAAACTTGCTCAATTAACTAACTACAGGCTGAACAGACACGGGTTCTGGTGCCACCTCTGCCCCAGAATGCCCTTTCTTAATAGGGTTGAAGAGCTTCTCATCAAGTCCCCAGAACTTGGCAGTTTTCACATCATCCTGAGCCATCAATCGTGAGAACTCTTCATGGTCATACTTCAAAGTTGCCTTGCCCCCAAGTTCACTCGGAAGGTTTTCTAGGTCGAAGAGTGATTTCATCAGCTCTACACTGTCCTTATTATTAGGATAAACAAACTTCACCTTCTGGGCTGTCTTGGGATCCAGGAAGAGTTTGACTGCCTATCAAAATGAAAGCAACTCCAAATTTGTCAAGTGGAAGAGGTGACTGTTAAAAGCTCATAATTCAACCTCAAATCTAGTACAATCAATGATCATAGAAGCTGACCAAACTCCAAAATTCCAAATACTAAAAGGTAGAATAAGATAAATAGAAAAGGACGGGGGAGGGGGGGCACCATAAGAGCTAATCTACTTCACACATGCTTCTACATGATCCCACCCCCCTAAAGAACTTGACAATAAAAAAAGATTAGGGACCAACTACCTACACGGCTGATTTTCAAGAATAATTACAATGTATAATTCTAATTGAGTTTATTATGCTGAAAGCCAACTAAACTTTTCCTAATTGACTGACATGATATGATTTGAATATTTAATAATAGAAAGGATTATCAAATGTTTTAAAAGTACATTTGGTACACAAAATTTTTAGTTTCCTGGAATCTGAAGTTGATAAGATTAGTTTCCTGTATTTGGTTTATTATTTAAAATATAACATTCTATCTCACTAAACATTGTTTCTGGAAATGCTTTTTACATAGATTTCCCATAAAAATTGTTCCCATAGGTAGGAGGTGGGAATCTAATTTTTTCCTATTTAAAAGAAATGTTTTATTGAGGTAAAAATATCACATTATCTTTATTCACTAATTTAATGCCATAATAATCTTTAATTTTCAAGTAACATATATAAATATTTCCAAGAACATTTATGACTAACTCAACATATTTTAATCATTTATAAAAATCATGATTCTTGGGATTCATGATATCTGGGAATTATGATTCTTAAGCATAAAAAAAAACTTCTTGTGTACCAAACACCTAAAAGTTAAAAGGTGATACACAACATTGTAACATTTACTTAAGCAAGAAGGATTAGCCAAGCATTGCATGATCTTTCAGAGTAAAATATAAATGATAGAAATCGCTGCCATGCAATGTAAACTTCCTATTAGAAAATCTATATAAAGCCATACATGAACAGAGCACATATAACTCGCAGGAAAGGAGAACATACCCTCCAGAAAGCCTGAAATATTCTTGGTGGATTGTAGAGAAAAGCAATAGCAAGCCTTTCTGGATAGTGGTTTTGTAAAATGTGAATAATATCACGAGCTGTTTTAACAGAAACATTTGTATTAAGAGATAGCCCTGTGAAGTCTATCAACCACGACATTTGTTCTTGACCTTCAGAAAGATTCAGGATAGCATTTTCCAATAGATAGACTAAATGCCTGATATTATCTTCGGCTGATGCAGTGTTCTAACAAAAGAAAACAGATTAGACAGATTAATTAACCAGTCATGCATAGAGAAGCCTTAATGAAAGTACATCCTAGTTCAAACCTGCATCCCTGGCCTCAAAATAAGCACAGTTCTCCCTAGTCGATCATGAAAGTTAGCTCTTGAGACTTTGCCTGTCTCACCCTCATGTGCTACTTCAGCCTGCATGTAGGAAGTCATTCAATTGTAATTTGTAAATACAAGTTTACAATAATACATGAAAGAGCAATATCCATAAGTAGGCTAATAACTAGATGATGGTTTCATTTAGTCTTTGCAGGCAATGCAGATATTGAACACAAATAGAAGGTATAATATCATAATTTTGGAACTAAATGTATTCTGAAGCTAATGTATGATCTTAATTGATTTCAGAAGTACAGCTCTGCAACTCAATTTCAACACCTTAAAATTTAGGTGTATATGTTGTTGACCTTATTCGGTAATCAAATACTGAAGAATTGATTTATGATCCAACAATTATGTTGCTCCCAAGAAAAAACTAGATCTGTTTGCAGTATAGACTACAGAGAAGTATCTAGCAGAAGATTATAATGTAAAAGGACAATATAAAACAGACGTGATAAAACAAACAAATTGTGTCTGCCCCAAGAAAGAACAAGACAAGACACAGGTTATTATGTCGGCTCAAGACAAGTTAGAACAAGATGACAAACATGAAGACTTTGTACTGAAATGTTGATCCATCATCATCAATTTGTCAAATTGTTTACAATATGGATCAATGTTACATGTATGACATGTTCATTATCAAATTCATTTTTGGCATCACCAATTGAGCATGTGGGGATCAAAGCCGGTTAAATCAAACTAACCCAACGGATTTCCTCTGGCTTATAAGTTGACCTCCACTTGAGAGATTCGTCCATCATTTTCTTGGCTTTATCAACATTCCAGTTCCTTGCTTCTAAATATCTCCTTAGACACGCATCTGTGCAATACTTCATTCTTCGACCAGAGAGGGGCCCAAGAGCAGCCCTGAGTTCAGACAGCTGTTTGAAGATGAGTTAAACTTGGTGCTTATAAAAGCTAGCATTTCATGAAAGTGTTTTCATACAGACAACCATAATTTTTTCCCATTAACCTTACAGGATGCCATGCAGAGAAGGTGTAAAGCATTCAAAATCACTTTTTACTCTGGATTTTTCTAGATCTGGTATGAAATTTCTGAGTATACATAGCTGCAAACTGAATTAACAAAAGATGTCAAATAAGCAAAGCAGTTTACCTTTGTTTCTCGATAGGAGGAATCATTCTCCTGGTGATTCTGGGATTGCCTTCTAATAAGGAACATTTTGACACCCTAAATGTACTATTTCCCAACCTGCAGCACAAGACCTCAAGATTACTTTTCCTCCTCAAACCTAACTTATATAACATTACAGAACCACGAAAAAATAAACATAAGAAAATAATCCAAATTAAGAAAAATTAAAATCCACAAGGTTCTCATTTCCCCAAAAGAGCATAGCAATCAAATCAAATTAAATAATTCCACTGTACTATACTCAATCACATCACATGCACATACAAACACATAAATTTACTGTGCACTTTCGTGGAACCCCTTGCTTCACTGAACACGGAAACTAACAACATAAAATATAAGCAAACAACCGATCTACGCGAAAAAAGACAAAAGTGATAATCAGACACCTATTCTGACTCGTTCACCGAGTCCAACACGTTTTCGTTATGACGAAAAAGGTCAACGTTTTCAACCTCAATTTTTTCTCATCTCAAATCGAACCAAACGACACCCTATTTTGACCGCAAATCAGCAAAACGCGAAGCGTTTACGCTTCTCTCGGCACTCGGCAACGGCGTTGATTCAGAGAAGCGAAATAGTAATCACATCAAAATAGAGAATGAAATTCACGCAGAAAATAAGAGCAAAAAGTGAAAAACCAAAAAGTGAAGGTCTCGAATCTAACGATGCGGATGCGCACAGGTGATGATAGAAGAGATTTGAAAAATAATAGTTAAATTTTGTGAAAAGGATCGATGGTGTGTTCAGAGGAATGTAATAGGAAGCAATAAATGAAGGAATGGAATGCGAACGCAAACCTTGAGAGAGAGAGAGAGAGAGAGAGAGAGAGAGAGAGAGAGAGAGAGAGAGAGTGTGCGGAAGCTTGAAAGTGGTTTGAGATTTTGAGATGAGAAAAGAGAATTAAGGAGTGTGCGTTTTGAGTTCGGAATCACGCGAATGTCATTTAATGAACGTTGTGTTGTGTTGTGATTGGTGACTCGTGGCCGAAGCAGAGGAATGAGGTGCGGAGAGTGAGAAAGAGACGCACAGAGAAAGAGAGTGGGAACACCATCCACTTATGTTATGCTTTTATTTTGTTATTTATTTCCCCTTTCAGTCATTTTTGCATTCAAAATTAAGTCACGTCCCTTTGAATTTAATGCCATTTAAAGCACAATACACGGACACCATGTTCTCTCCAAAAGTGCTAAGCATGCTTTATTTTATTTTATTTTTTTTAAGGCATGCTTGATTTAAGAAAACATTTTTATTTTTATTTTTTATATTTATAAAATTTACAAACCAAGTTTTTTCTGAGAGTTTATTTATTTTTCAAAAATAATAAACTAAAAAATATGCTTAGTCTAACTTTTAAAAATATATATGAAAAGTTTGTGTTATATATCAAAGAAGTTTAACATTCAAAGATATAACGATTCACTAAAAATTTAAGACAAAAAATGGTTACTATTTTTTTATTTATAATAAGTATAAATTTATAAATAATTTTTAATAATAAAATATATTTATATTGCTATATGTTAATTATATATATATATATATATATATATATATATAATAAA